TCCAGCCCTCAGGAGAGCACATGGACACCACCCACCAAATGGGACAGTAAAACGTTGTCTGCCTGCCTGCCCCAGCTGGCTGCAGAGACAAAACTGCCATGAGAGAGTGAGGGAATGCATCTGAAAGAGTGGTGAGGATCAGCTCTCCTTGGGACTTCAGTGGAGAGGCAGCTCTGAAGTGCTGGACAGAGCTCTCTCTGATCAGCCACTGCTCTCTCCTTCCTAGGCAGCCTGAAATACAAAGAATTGTATTTCCTGACTGCTGGGCCCCAGAGACTCCCCAAACTCCACGAAAAATAAAAAATAAAATTAAAAAAAAAATCAGTTTATAACTCACCAAAGCAGCAGTGGAAATCCCAGCACTGAACTGTGGCAACAGCAAACCTCCCATGAAGCTGCACGTCCCAAACCTGCACTGCAGGGCTGGCAGCTGCCTTGGGGCATGCACATCACACCAGGATCCCTGCAGGGCATTCCTGGGACATGCACAGCTTCTCTGACAGCCACAGGGGAACCAGTCTGGAGCATGCCAGGAGCAGCAATGGCAGGGTGCTGTTATAACCTGCCCAGCAATCAGGAATGCAGGGAGAAAGCTGGGAAGATGGACTGGGACACAGCTGGACAAAGCACAGCAGCTGTGCCATGAGGAGATCCCTGCAGGAAAAGCTGGGGGGAAGCTCAGGGCCAGGGCTGGTGAGTCAGGCAGGGAGCCTGGGAAGTGGCTGAGCTGAGCCAACAAGGCTGAGATAAAACCCTTTGGCAAAAGCCATGGGAAAGAAAGCTGAAGCTTTCCTAGAAAACTGTTCCAGCCACTGCAGTCCTGGCCAAGAGTGTGAGTACTGAAGGGATGCAGTGACTGTAGCAGGAAAATGAGCAGTGAAGAAGGTGAGACACAGCCATAATTCCAGTTCTGGTGGGGCAATGGGGACGAGCACCTGCTCTGCCCCATCTCACAGAACCCAAACCCCTGACTGGTTTGGGTTTAAATCTCATCTCATTCCACCTCCTGCCATGGGCAGGGCATCCTCCACCAGACCAAGTTGCTCCAAGACCCATCCAACCTGGCCTGGCCTGGCCATCCCAGCAAGAAAAGCCACAACCACACCAGCTGCAAGCCTCTCCTGTCCCTTACAAACCCAAAAATCCCTCCTTGCCCAAATCTTGTGGCTGCTGCAGCCTAAAAAGCTGAAGGTGTCATGAGCTGTGTGGATGGGAAGCACCCAACAGAGAGGTGGAAGAGTTTTTCCATGGTAAAATCCAAACAGGGTTTGCAAAGCACTTGTAAAAGCAGGCACTGCAAAGATCCAGAGGAATCCAGTGTGGCTGGGATTTAAGGAATGGCCTGGTGGGGTTTGGGTTTCACCTTTTGGGAGGGGCCATGAAAAACACAAGGGGAAAAACACAAGGGGAAAACAGAGTGACTTCATTTCACCAAAAGATGTAGTGGTTCCACCATCACTCTGAGAACCAGAGGGCTGCAGGAGACACCTAAAAGGGTGTAAAGCAGGAAAGATGAAAATAAGGCTTTTTTTGAGGGATTACAGCAGCACCAATGGCCACCAATGAAGTAAATTGTCAGCCACAGTGAAGTCAATCACCAGCACCTGTGACATTTCCACAGGAAGCACCAATTTGTGTGAGGTGACTTTAGAGCAGCTCCCACACCCCTGAGGGCAAAGCCACGATGTTCTCACCTCCCTGCCATGCAGGTGCCACCAGCTGCCACCATGGTCATTGATAAAAGGTGGCACTGGGCACCACCCAAGTGTCCCCTCCAGCCCTGCCCTGCAGTGCAAAGGGCAGGAAGCAAGCAGGCAGTGGTCCTTGAGAGGGAAGTGCTGCTCTGAGGATGGAGTGGAGCATCCATGAGCTGGGACAAGCGAGGCAACACCAAACCTTGTAAGAGAGTTTCCCTAAAAACCTCAGGAAGCCAAACAGGAACTGGGTTTTGGCATCAAACAGGAAAAGGGGGGCTGCCAAAACAGACCCTGACACTTCCTCTCTGGCCTCATCCCTACCCTGGTTTCACCTCTTTACATCTTTAACCTGGCCATGGCATCAGGGGCTCTTTTTGGCCTGAACCAGTGACACATCAATATTTGTTTTTGCAGTGGTTTAACTATTTATGTGTGTGTATCTATATATGTGTATCTCTAGAGATTTTCTTCCTCCTCAAAACAGCCATGTGAAATTCTGGTTGATAAAGAGGAGGAACTGGGTTGAAGTAAACACCAAGTAAATTCATTTCAACAACCACACATGGGTCATGCTCATATTTCCCCCTCCACACACACATCCCCAAAACAGATCAACAGCAAGAGATTTTTATGTGGATTTATTTTTATTTTTTTTACATTATGTTAGAGTTCAAAAAAAAAAAAAAAAAAAAAAGAACCCAACAAAATTAATAAATATTAAAAGTTAAAAAGCTCTGAATCTCGTATGTACAAAACTTTATACATCAAGGTAACACTGGACAAGGTTACAGCACAGGAACGACTCCATGCACCCACCTGCCTCAGGAAGGTGCAGGGGATCAGTCACCCTCTCCTCCTGGAGACAGGACCAGAGACAGGACAAAGCCACCCAAGCTCAGCCTGCCTTCAGCTGGAATAAATCCCCCTGGATCCCTGCAAGTGTTCAAGGCCAGGATGGAGCAGCCTGGTCTAGTGGGAGGTGAGGAGGGCTGGAACCAGATGAGCTTTACAGCTCCTTCCAACCCAAAGCACTCCAGGATTCCGTGAGACACAGGGCAGAGCTGGGTGCCAGCCCTGCAGCACCACCACCCAGAGCACCCCCAGCTGCTGGGGGAGGTTATCCCAGCCTGCTTCAGATCTCCCCCAGCTCTCAGGTGATCCTGAGCTCAGGATCAGCACCTGCAGTGCAGCCCCCCTGCCCAAACACCCCAGGGGCTGTGGGTGCCAGGAGCTGGCTCAGTGCCCAGCCCCAGCTCTGCCCTGGGGTGTAGGGAGGGACCACTGCAAATATTCCTAAAGCAATAAAGCACCAAAGCCTAGGCCAGCAAGGAAGGGAGGGGAGCAGCTGGGAATCTTGGAGGAAGGACATCACAGCCCATTTTTGAGGGGAAAGAAGGTCTTTTTGTTATGCTCCTTGGAGAGCAAACAAAGCGTTATCTTTGGCACAATAAATAAATGCTGGCACTGCCGTGGAGGGGCTGGCAAGGGGCATGGCAGGGGTGGAGGCATCCCAAGGGATGAACCCCACGCTGGTATCCCCACAGGATCCCCTGTGGGTGCCAATACCTGCCTGTGCTGGGTCTGGGCACTGCACAGCACCCTCCCTGTGCCCACTCCTGTGAGGTTTGCCAGCTCTGTGGCTCAGACAGATGGGGGGCTTTGTTCCAGCTTTTGGGATGCCCACCTAAGGCCAAAGGGCAGCACCCAGGAGGCCAAGGACCTCCAGCCTGAGGTGCTTCAAGAGGAGTTGGAGAAATGCTCGTCCAGCTGTGCCTCAGCAGCAGGAGGGTGTGGGGAAGCCCTGGGGGAGCAATGCAGAGTCCAATGCCAAAACATCCAGAATGCAGAGGGGTCTTCATCCATCTTCAGGCAAAGCAAGCACCTCAACCCTGTCACAATCCATGGGAAAGTCACCCCAGGCCACCTCAGCAGCAAGGCCTGGCTACCTGCAGAGCTCACAAGCACTGTCCTAGGGATGCCCCATTCTACTCCTTGGAAACCAGGGAAGCTGGAGCCTCAGGGCCAGCACCCACACCATGCACGTGCTCCCAAGGACATCCCACTGTGCAATGCCAAACTGGCCTGTCTGCCAAGCCTTGCCTTCCTGGGACTCCACCTCCCCATTCCCAAAACCTCCTCTCCCACCGTCCCCTGCCACTGCACCCAGAGGTACCAAAGTACCAAAACCATGGAAGCCCCCTCAGGGACACCATTTTTGGGAGGTTTTTGAGGACTGAAACTTGTCAAAGCAAACCCTGTGCCCAGAGCTGGCCCAACACCCAGCAAGGAGAGGGCAGCCCAAGGCTCCTAAAGTGCTGTGCAAACGTTTAGTACTTGGCACAATAATTTGTAATGGCATTAATCACCCCCTCTCCACCCCTTCCCAAGCAATGAGAGATGCAGATGAATCCTTGGCTCCCTCCTCTCTTGGTAACTGCCCCTAAAATCCACTCCTGGCTTCCCAGTCACTCCCATTTCCCCCTGGAAGCTGTTGCTGCCCCAGAGGTGCTGGATCCAAGGGTGCAGGGATAATCCTGCTGATCCTGGGCATTGGTATCAGCTCAGGGCTGGCCAAGGGCAGAACTGGCTAAAACAAAGTCACCCCCAGGTGACAGGCATTTTTGACATCAATATTTGGTCTTTGCCCTGTGGTTCTTATTGCTCACTTTGGAATCTCCTGGACCATCCCCTGCCCCCAGGACAGAAGCAGCTCTATGCTTGGCACATTCCACCTTCCCCCAGACACGTTTCCCAAACTCTCTACCCCACCAAGGACAGCCCAAAGCAGTAGTTTGGGATTTCCCCACACTTCCCCTCTCCTCACCTCAGCACCTCCCCTCCAGTTTTCCCCACCAGATTCCCAGGATCCTCCCATTGCTATCCCCAAGCTCCAGGGCTGAACCACCAAGCCAGGACCCTCCTGTCCAGCACATCCTGTGTTGCTGCTTGGAGCAGGGGGAAGGAAAATGCAACATTAAAGCCATCCCCCTCCCACATCTTTTTAGCACCTTGGGAGGAAGCAGCCTGTGTTCCCACAGCTTTTTTTTTTTGCTCTTTTCCACCTTTTTTTCCCACAGCACTGTCAAAAAGCACCATGGCACGGCTGGGAGGGCAAGCAGGACCATGGGAAATGAGTGGTTTTCCCAGGAATTTCTGGGTGTGGAGCCAGGTCATTCCCAAACCTGGCAGTGCCACCCATGAAAACCATCACTGAAAGCTGGGGGAGAGGAAAAAGATGGAGAGAACGGGAGGAGAGAGGGAGAAAGGCTTTGCCAGCCTCACAGGGAGGTGGTTCTGAGCAGGTTACCTGGCCCCCTGGCCCCTTCCCTGCTCCCTGGGGGCTGGCAGCTCCCCTGGAAAAGCAGCACTGCTGGATACCCCAGGTGCCAGAGTGGGGTCCCCAGCGGGCTCCCCCCGAGCTGGGCTAGTGGGGTAGGGGAGGAGAGGCAGAGCAGGGCTGGGAGTGGTGGTTCCCGGGGGAATGCTGGTGGCAGGAGCTGAGCCCGTGGTGGAGGAGGCTTTCTTCCCACAGGATTCACAGCAGAGCTTGTTGTAGCCAGGGATGGAGCAGTAGCGAGCCAGCACCTCCATCTGGCAGAAGATGGACTTGTCCCCGAGGCAAGGCTCCCCTGGAGAGGGACAGAGCAGCACAAAATAAGGTGGCATCAGGCTCCCAGCCCTGCACCCCTCCCGTGGGACTCCCAAAGGGAACAACCCTGCCAGGGTGCTGCCTATCCACGTAGGAGGCGGGCAAGAGGGACCTGGAAAAGGAAGCCAAAGCACTGAAAGCATTGTGTGCATGGAGAAAAAACAGAGAGCAAGGGATGCTCCAAACCAAAATGCACCGAGCCCCAGCTGTGAAGGACTCCGAGGAGGAAAAAAACCAGAAGCCATTTCCCTGCTTAAAAAAATTCCAAAGTAAAAAGGAAAGGGCATAAAAAGCGGGAGGCCAAAGGAGCTCAGCAGAGGAAACTGCAGGACCTCGCAGACCACGAGAGGGCAACGGAGCAACGCGCTCTGGAGCAGAGGCAGCAGCGGAGGCTGGAGCTCCCCAGGAGCAGCGCTGGGTGCGCTCCCACCTCTGCTGCACAGCTCCTCGGGAGGGGAATCCAGCGGAGCACCGCCCTTCCACTGCACTTACTGGAGGAGATCTTGCTCACGGGGTTTTTGGCTCCCTCCTGGGGCACCCGCTGCCCTTTGGTCGTGCCGTGGTCACCGGCATCAGCACTGGCAGTGATGCCAGAGAGCTTCCCTGCAGAGAGAGCACCACGATGCCCAGCAGCCACGGGAGGCTGAGGGCACTCAAAATACCTCGGGAGGGTGTTTGGTTTGTTTTACGGGATCTCCTTAAAAATTAAATCCCTTAAGCACCCAGCATTTAAGCCACTCAAACCCCACCCAAGATAAACTCCAGGGTGCCCATCTCTACCAGCTCACCACGAGTTCAAACTGCCAGAAAACCCAAAACCAGTCAATGCCAGGGCTATGAGCAGAGAAGGGAAATATTTCGGCTGGCTTTTAACTTTTTTTTACTGCCAGCCACATCAGGGGACGTTCAACCCAACCTTGTCCACTGGCATCCCCTGAAGCCGCAACGGGCTGGAGGCATTTGTGGGCACATGCCCCATCCCAGTGCCGCCTCCTCCTCCTCCTCTCACCTGGGCAGACAGCCACATGGCAGCCCTGGATGGCCTCTGGCTTGTCACCCTCGCAGCGGGCGCCGCTGTCACTGCCCTTGCACACCACCTGCCGCTGCTGGACGCCTTCCCCGCAGGTCACCGAGCACTGCGCCCAGACAGACAGACAGACAGACAGTCAGTGACAGCCCCCACAGCTCCCCAGGATGGGCTGCTGACTGTTCCTCAGGTGGATTTTGCTTCCTGATGTGGAGTTTCCCTCCCTGTGTCCCAAACCCCCACACTCTCTGCACAGGGATGCTCTCCCCTCTCCCATTTTTCCATGGAAGTTTTCAAAGCCAGGCTTGGAGCAGCCTGGCCTAGTGGAAGGTGACCTGACCAAGGGAAGGGGTTGGAATGAGATGGGCTTTAAGGTCCCTTCCAACCCAAACCATTCCAGCATTCTGTGAAAACATCACTGTCTCTTGTACCCTTACCTCCACCAAGGCCAGGCTGGGTGGGACTCATCTGGTCTGATGGAAACTGTCCCTGTCCACGGCAGGGGAGCTGGACTAGGTGACCTTTACAGCTCCCTTTGAACCAAACCAGTCTAGGCTTCTCCTCCATGACCCCTATAAGCACCTGACCTTCACACCCCCCTGTTGAAAATCCCAGTGCAAGATGTTTTCAATTCCCATCTGTATGGCAGGTCACCTTTGTCAAGTGGGCAGTTTGCCTGATCTCTCTCTTTGAGTGACCACATTCACACCTCCCTGGGAGGGGACATTGCTGATAACAGCTATTGAATGTCCCTGCATGGCTGATAAGAACTGTAACATCCCATTGGAAGATGTGAGCCCAGAGGGAGGAGCCAAGCACTGCTACCCAGATATAATCCAGAGGTTTTGAGACACCAGCATGGCTTTCTCCATGGGATTCCCCAGAGGAACAGCAGCTGCCTCTCCTTCCCCTGGATCTTCAGAGGAAGAATACATCCTTCTCTACAGGACCCCCCTGCTCCAACAGAACCACCCCTGACACTGCAGGAGGGCTGCAGCCACATTTCCAATGGGACTGCCACCAGCACCCTGACCCAGAGGGTGTTAGGCTGGGTTCTGACTCTGTCAGTGTTGTTCTAGTGCACTGCATTGTTTATTTTACCCTTTTCCCTATTAAAGAACTGTTATTTCCTGCTCCCATATTTTTGCCTGAGAGCCCCTGAATTTAAAATTCATAGCAATTGGGAGGAGTGGGGAGGGTTCACATTCTCCATTTCAGGGGAGGCTCCTGCCTTCCTTAGCATACTCCTGGCTTTCCAAACCAAGACACCACCCTCATGCCCTCCTCCTCACCTCGGACCAGGCTCCTGTCCTCCACTGTGCGGGGCAGGGCAGGCGGCCGCAGGGCCGGCGCGTCTCGGGGCGCTGCCCGGGGCAGTTCTTGCTGTGCAGGGTGCGGTTGGTGCCGTCCTGCAGGCGCTGCATGCACTGCACCGCCCGCGCCTGCACCCCCAGCTTCCCGCAGGAGCGGCTGCAGGCGCCCCACTCCTCAGCCACCCACCTGCCAGCAGGGGAAAATGGACAGGGAGAAGGCGCTTGAGGCGATGCTTGTGCTGGGAAGCAGCTGGAAACGCTCCCAATCCAACCCCAAACTGCCCCAATGAGGAGTGGGAGCACCCTGGGCCACACAGAGAGGACTTACATGGGCTGGGAGCATTCCTGGAGGTTACAGCGCCTCCGGATTGGCTTTGGTTTCTTGCTGTTGTCACAGAAGTTCCTATGCACCATCCGGTTGTCGCTTTTCCGACGGCAGCCGTACTTGGTGTACTGGATGCCTGAGGGGGCAGAGTGTGGGCAGTGAGGGGATGGGTGTGGGAATCCCTCCAGGTTCCCCCAGGTCCATCATAACCTGCTGGGATATCCTGCATATCCCACGTATCCTGCTGGGATATGTGCTCTGAGATGTCACCACTCAGGTGGGACCCAAGGTTTGCTGAGGATGCTCGTGTGGCTGCTGGACCCACCCCAGGGTCCCCCAGGCTGCTGTGGGGTGCACACAGCTCGTGGAAAATGTCCCAGCTCATGGCAGGGGTTTGGATTAGGTGGCCTTTAAAGGTTCCTTCCAACCCAAACCACTCTGATTCCCAGAGCAAAGGTGCCCCCCACGACCTGAGGTCAGATCCCAGTCAGATCCAGGCTGTATGGAAACGGGGCTTTCACCAGCAAACCTTACACCTACTTCTGTGCAAACCTTAGTAGTGGTCATCTTCAAAATCACTGTTTCTTGGCTCAAATCCAGTTAAAAACAGCCAAAGAATTTAAAAATCCCAGCAGGTCCATGGATAGACAGACAAAGGTAGACACACACAATTATGCAAGCCTGTTTCTTTAAGAAATCCAGCTAAAATGCTCACTTGAACGGCTTTGCAACAATTTCTTCATGCCAGAGATGCCCCAAGGGGCTCAGACACCCTCTACCATATCCAAGCACCCCCCAAGCATTCCCTGTAGGCTGCTATGAAGAGGAAGTTACCTCCTCCACACGCCTTGGAGCACTGGGACCAGCTCTTGAGGGCCCACTCATAGGAATCCATCTCCTCCAGCAGGACATTGTTATTTCCAATCATGGGCAGCAGGTCTTCATGGATGATGTACCTGTACATGAGGCTGCTCCTCGCCTCCTCCTCCTGAGGGACGACCTGCAGGCACAGAGGGAGCAGTCAGAGAGGGGGAAGAATGATGCCATGGGAAAGGGACCACATGGCAAGGTGGCCTCCACTCAAAACTGGGAATGGGGATGGATGGGAGCACAGACCTGCCATTCCCTGCATGTCAAGGGAACCCAATCTCTAATTCCCCACATACCAGCATAACCAAAATGGGATTTGGAGTCATAAGCAATTGCTGCAGAGCAAAATGCAGCAACACATCCTTGTGCCATTCCCTCATGCAGCTGGTCACCCCTTGCTCTTGGCTGGCTCATTCCCTGGATTTCATGACATGCCCTCTTCCTCTACCCAAATCCTTCCATCACCTGCCACAGCACACCTCAGACCAGCTCCCCTCTCTGTGACAGTGGTCCCCAAGCCCCCCAGAGCACGGGCCAGCCAGGCTTACCAAAACACTGATGGCCTCGTGCAGGGGACCGCTGGTTTTCAGGCTCTCCTTGCCTTGTTCCACAGTGTATTCCCACTCCAGGCCCATCTCAATGAACACTTGGCTTTTGGCTTCTTGGCCCTTGGCATTAAGGATGAAGTTCCCTGTGGCTTGATTCTTAACAGCTGGAGGAGAAAGGAGATATTTTCAGTATCATTCCCTCTGGTCACTCGCTTTGGAGGGTGGGAATGACCTAAACAAGACCCTCTTTGGTGGGAATTATGAGAGAAGGGTTGAGAAAGGGTGAAGGGAGAGGTGCACTAGGGCATGCTCACCGATGCTGTGGGATGCTGGCTCCATCTCCTCTATCTGAAGGTGCCTTGCTCCAGCTGGGATCTCAAACATCTTCAAAACACCTGAAAGGGAGGGAAGAAGGATGGAGGGAAGAGAAAGAGCAGGTTTCCTCCAACTGGACACATGAATCCAGCTCGTGAATCTGCTTCCAAGCCCACCCACCCCTCTCACCTGGCTGCTTGGGGGTCTTGGCCAACGTGCCCTTCACCGTCCGGCAGTGGGAATTGTCCCCCCCGCAGACCCCACACTTGTCATCCTGCTTCAGGGAGCCAACCTCCTTGTCACAGCCGATGTGCTGGCACCCAGGGGACGAGAGGACAAGCCTGGGGTTACATGCCTGAGGCCCAGCCCAGGGTTACAGCCCTGCTGCCCAGCCCAGGGGTACAACCCTGCGGCACTGGAATATTTCCCTGTCTGCTCTGGGGTGCCCTGACCCCCAGGGCAGCACTGACTTTGACCCTCATCCATGGAGAAAGTTTCCTAAACTCCAGAATAGACTAGAATCCACTAGGGTGTGAAGTAGATTGTAGAGAGTAGGTGTATTACTTGCTGAGAAATTTAGGTTTTGGGATTTTTAGTGTGTTGTGGATGGAAGCAAGATGCAGGGCACAGGGTGTCATCCTGGGTTTCTTCTTCATGCTTCTTCTTCCTTCTTCTTCATGGGTTTGGGTGGTATTTTGTAATTGAGTGGAAAAGTCCACATTGCAGGCTTTTGGGGATCAGTTATTTGGTTAAAAAGGGAAATAATCTAGGTGTCCGTTCTTAATTGGATAGTTTAGCTTTAAAAGACCTTGTAACAAGAGATTGTTGGCCATTTTTGTGGTGCTTTTCCAGTGTGCTGAGCCTGGTGTGGACAGCGTGGAAAACTTTTGATAACAATAAACAAGAACCTGAAGACCAAAAAGATCCAGTAGGTCTCTCTTTCCTGACACAAGACCACTCCAGGAGGGTCTCCCCCCAACAGGGGAGCCCCCAGGGAGGGCCCAGCCAGAGTCCCACAAGTCAGGGAATCAGCAACAGGTACCCTGACAGCGGCCCAGCCCATCGCTCTGCCATCCCCTTTGCTGCACACAGGCTTGGTCCCCAGGGGAAAAACCCGTGCCCCCAAGGGGCTGAGCTCTGTCCTGGCCAGGGAAAGGACAGGGACAGCCCCAGAGGAGCTCCTCACCAGGCACTCGCCCCGGACACAGACGCTGTAGGGGTCTCGGTAGCTGCAGCGGGTCCCGTCGTGAACGACCTGGTTCATGAACACCACGTCCCCCGTGCCCTCAGACTGGCAGATCAGCTCACACTTCTGAGCATCTGTGGCACAGGAAAAGGGAAGGGGGAGAAAAAGAGAGGTGGGGGGAAAAAGGAGTTGTGGGAATTCATTAGGGTGAGTGAAGGCAGAAACTCTCCTCAGCTTGTACCCCTGAGCACAGCCACAATTCCAAAGCCCAGGACATTCATGTGGCTGCTCTCCATTTGCAGCTCAGGAGCCTGCACTTTTGCCTGGTACACTCAGGAAATTAAGGGAAGGACAGGACACACTACATGAGGCTGCAGTGCAAGTAGGCTGCTCTGCTCTGGAAACAGGCTGGGAGAGCTGGGAGTGTTCAGCCTGGAGAACAGAAGGCTCCAGGGAGAACTTAGAGCCCCTTCCAGTGCCTGAAGGGGCTCCAAGAAAGCTGGAGAGGGACTTTGGACAAGGACAAAGGTGTGACACATTAAACCCCATAATGGGGTTTAACCACAGAGTAATAAATCAAGCCCTGGATAAATCATTTGAAAAGATTTGTTTTACCCTCATGAAACTTTCCACAAGAAAGAATAAAGTTGTGGGAAGCTTTCTCTACAAGGGGAAGGCAAATTCATTTTGCCTAGGATGAAAATTGGATAAATTCCCAACCAAAGAAGCTGTGGATTGAAGATGGGACAAAGGAATATGAAAAGGCAGGTTTTTGTAAGGAAGACTCCAGTAAGAATTGGAAGGAGTACAAAAGGTTCTCCACAGGAGAATGATGGTGAGAAGCAACTACCTGGAAAATATTTAATTTTGAGCACAAGCACCCTTCAGCTTATGAAGACTAGGAATGACTTCAAACTGTCAGAAGGCAGGGTTAGATGGAGTATTGGGAAGAAATTCTGTATTGTGAGGGTGGTGAGGCACTGACACAGAGAAGCTGTGGCTGCCTCTGGATCCCTGGAAGTGTTCTTCCACCTGTGAGTAACCTGGTCTTGTGGAAGGTGTCCCTGCCCACCGCTGCAGGGTTGGAATGAGATAATCTTTAAGGTCCCTTTCAACCCAAACCACTCTGGGTTGTGATTCCATGATTTTAAAAAGCTGCCTGCTTGGTGTTGGTTTATTGCACAACAGTTTCCAGCTCAGGAGCTTCCCGCAGCCCAACATCTGTGCAGCTGGCACAGTCTCCACCCCAGGGTGATGGCCACCAGGGCAGAGGAATTCCTCTGGAGGAGTCTGGCTGCTGCTCCTTTGCCAGGACCTGCCACCACTCACCGTCATGGTGCTCGTAGGGAAGCCAGGAGTGTTTGCTGTTCTGGTGGGTGTAGTAGGAGTTGCGCTTGGAGCACTGCTGGGCACGGAAATCCTGGAAGGGCCCCGGGCACTCCTCGGCGTTGCACACCTGGTACTCGTAGGTGGCTCCTGGGCAAGGGCGCCCTCCGTACGCTGGGCTGGAAAACAAAGCCAGTGGCTGGTGAGAGTGCTGGAGAGGGGATGGTGTTCAACCCCAGCACGGCTCAGTGCCCGAACGCACGGCACATTGTGGCATTCATGTTTTCTGGAAAAATCCCTTTGCCCAGGATTTTTCTCCTGGGAAGCTGAGAAGCCTCAGAGAAAAAGGAAAACAATAATTATCTCATTTGCTTCTCCTGTGTTTTGCTGCTTTGGAATGTGTTTGGAGATTGTTCCAATTGGTGCTGATCAATCCAACTGATTGATCCAACAGGTGCTTGTTTCATTGGGTTCATGTGAATTGTTTTCACTTATTGGTCAATCAGTGCCAAGCTGTATTGGACTCTGGAGAGAGAGTCATGAGTTTTCATTATTATCTTTTTAGCCTTCTGTAAGTATCCTTTCTGTATTCTTTAGTATAGTATAGTATTCTTTACTATAATAGAGTATCATAAAATAATAAATTGGCCTTCTGAGAACATGGAGTCAGATTCATCATTCCTGCCTTCATCGGGGCACCCCGCAAATACAATAGCACAGCCCCCGCAGGAACAGATATCCCCATCCCTGCCAACAAGGGGAAGAGCCAGGAACCCCTGGCTCGTGGCCACTTCCAGCTGGGAAAAGGGAGGGAGGCAGAGCCCAGACGTACGGCGGGTTGTCGCAGCTCCGGCTGCGGGACCGCACGCCTCCCCCGCAGGTCCTGGAGCACGAGCCGAACTTGGACCAGGAGCTCCAGCTGCCATCCTGGCTGTAAGGCTGCTCTGACGTCTTCCAGATGCAGTGGCCCTTGAAGCACCACTGGAAGGGAGGAGAAGGAATGAGTTCCAGGCCTCTTCCAAAGCGCTCAGCACCAGTGGAGAGCCCTCCTGCACCCACAGCACTACAGAAAGGGTACAGCACGGGAGGAAGGCACTCTTCATCGTGCCCTCGGACGCATCCCTCCCACAGGAAGCAGGACCAGCCCCTACCTTGCCAGGAGAGCACTCGGTGCCATCCAAGGGCGGCCCCTTCTTGGTCTTGCAGAAGTAGGGGTTGTCTGGGTGGCTGCACCACAGCTGCTTGCAGGGGTCGAAGGTGCGGAACTGGGGAGCACAGAGGAGCTGGGCTGGGACAGCAGCGGCGAGTGCCAGCAGGCTGGTGGCAGCCAGGCTGGCTGGGGACCGCGGGGAGGGGGGACAGCGTGGCCATGCAGCCCCTACTCACCGCCGTGCAGGTCTTGTAGCCCACGCCGAAGTCGAAGCGGCACTGCTCATCCATGGAATAATTAATTCCTGGCAGCTCGGGTAGCATGGGCCACTGGTGCTCAAAGGGGTCATCCAGGAGGCAGTCGTAGGAGCTGCAGAGTCAGACAGAGGATTTCCTTCCATCACCCCATCCCTCAGCTCCCTCACTCCACTCCTGGAGTGCTGTACTCCAGGTCACTCTCCAAATTCAGCAACTGAGAAATTTGAATTATCATGGAATCCCAGCCTGGCTTGGGTTGGAATGGTCCTTAAGGGCCGTAGAGTTCCACACCCCTGCCATGGGCAGGGACACCTTCCATTAGACCAGGCTGCTCCAAGCCCCAGTGTCCAGCCTGGCCTTGGACACCTCCAGGGATCCAGGGCAGCCACAGCTTCTCTGGGCAACCTGTGCCAGGGCCTCACCTCCCTCACAGGAAAGAACTTTTTCCTAATATCCCATCTAACCCTACTCTCTGTCAGTGGGAAGCCATTCCCCTTTGGCCAAAGTCCCTCTCTGGATCCTTTAGGCACTGCAAGAGGCTCCAAGGCCTCCCTGCAGCCTTCTGTCCTCCAGGCCGAACACCCCCAGCTCTTCCAGCCTGTCTCCAGAGGCCCTCCAGCTCTGGGAGCACCTGTGGGTACCAAAAGCCAGCACTGGGGGTCTGAGGGGAGGCCATGCCTTCCCAGCTGGAAGGGGCGTACTGGATGTAGCGGTTGAGCTCCTGCTTGCTGCAGCGGGACCAGTGGTAGCGGTGGAAGGCGGCCTGCACCAGCGGCGCCATGATGCTCCCCATGCTGGTCTCGTCGGCGCAGCGGTTGCCCTGCCCGTCGTGCTCCATGCCCAACCTGGAGGGAAGATCCCAAGGGATTCACAGCTGCAGCAGCACCTTTTTAAAGGGAGGGGCACCACCACAGCCAGCTCTCTCTCTGCCCCCAGGACTTACACGTGCCCGGTCTCGTGGGCGACCACGAAAGCCGAGGAGAAGCCGTCCTCGTGGTTGAGGGTGCAGCTGCGGAGAGGGTGGCACATCCCTGTCACCGGAGCGTAGCCTGGGGCAAAGACAGGAGGGAAGGACAGAGGAGGAGAGGAGAGAGAAAACCTTTGAGAGAGGAGGGGAAAAAATGAAAAATTAAGAAGAAAAAAGAAACCCACAAATGCATAACCTGGCTTCACTGCAACAGAAGAGAAAACAGAGGGGAAGGCGCTGGAGAGGAGGGGTCACTGCCCAGGTCACTTGGGTGGCAGCCCAAGGACTGGCTCAGCAGTGTGTGCCAAAAGCCAGCAGAGGTTGCTGTGGGGCTTGCTGGCACCACTGTGCCCTTGTGCCAACACACCTGGGCAGGCAGGAGGGCAGGAACAGAACCCACACCACCATGCCAGCGTGGGTGGTCATGGCCTCCCCGCCCAGGAATGGCCTCCCCCGCATTCTTCTTCATTTAAAACAAATAAAGAAGGAAAATAAGAGAGGAGAAAAGGCATGAGGCTCCCCCCAGAGCCCTGCCAAAACCACAGCCCTGCTCCCCACGGGGCGTACCCACACATGCACCCACCCCGGCCCCAGGACACAGCCCTCGATCAAGTGCAGTGCAGTGAGGCAGCTGTGGGCAGAGGAATCTTCCCCCACCCAGGCAGCAACACATCACCTCCATTTTGGTCACTTTTCCTTTCTTTATCACCTTATTTCTGTCCAATTTAATTAACTTGTTGGCACACTCCAGAATTTACTCCCCAAAGTTTTTTCATGTGTGTTGGTTTTTTTTGAGGCTGACCCTTTTTGGCATCAAGGGAGTTAGTGAAGGAAGGACTTAAAGGTCAGAGAGGCAAAAGCAGGGCAGGACCATGCTGGATAACTGGGATGCTGGAAGGGGAGAGCTCAGTCAGCCAGGAGTGGGCAGCAGCAGGAGAGGGGTGCTGATGAGCTGAGGGAGATGCACATCCCTACACCCACCCTGGCCAAACCACGGGGTCCACAGAGCCCCCCCATCCTTGTGGGATACTTGATCCACACCAAGTCACTCCCATAATGGGGTTTAACCATAGAGTAATAAATCAAGCCCTGGAAAAATCATTTGAAAATATTTTTTTTTACCCCCATGAAACTTTCCACAAGAAAGAATAAAGTTGTGGGAAGTTTTCTCTACAAGGGGAAGGCAAATTTATTTTGCCTAGGATGAAAATTGGATAAATTCCCAACCAAAGAAGCTGTGGATTGGAGATGGGACAAAGGAATATGAAGAGGTGGCTGCTCACAAAGGCAGGTTTTTGTAAGGGAGACTCCAGTAAGAATTGGAAGGAGTACAAAGGGTTCTCCACAGGAGAATGATAGTGAGAAGCAACTACCTGGAAAATATTTAATTTTGAGCACAAGCATCCTTCAGCCCAGGCCAGAAAACCCTCTGTGTCACCCACTGCAGAGGGACAAGACCTTTACAGCAGCAATTAAAATTTACAGCCCATCCATCCACTGCTTTTCTCTTCAAAGGGCATATTTGGGATAATTTGGTGCTACTCTCTGGTCCTTCATTCCACGCATCCCTGAGCTTAACAGAGTATTGGGGGTCCACAAGGACTTTGTTTTGGGGAAAAGAGGCAAGAGCAAGCACGGTGTTACTATTCCAGCAGCCCAATCAGAGGGAAATTCCCAGTGGATGAGGAGCTCCTTGTGCCATGCAGCACAGCCAGGCAAGGACACGGGGATTCTGCAGAAAGTCCTGGAGATGTGTGACAAGCAGAGAGCCAGATCCACAGGGAAAAGGGGAAGGAGGTGCTGGAAGGAGCACCCCTAGAGCAGGGCTACTCCATGGATCTCACGACTCCTTCCCACCAAGGCGCAGCCTAGGGAGTTTCCCCCTTCTGCCAAAAAAGGTCCTCTCACCAATGCCTTTGGACACAGTCACTTTGCCAGGAAGGGTCTAGAAAAACACAACAAAAGCTGGTATTGCACCCATGTGCCTCTGGACAAGGAGACCAGGGCAAGCCACCAGCCTGGCACAACCCAAGGTCTGCTACTTGGTGGCCACAGGACCACTGGCACACTCAGGAGGGTTTCCAGCTGGGTATCTCCTGAGGTTCATCTCCTGCTGAGGGGGATCCTTCTCAGGGAGGTCGTGCAAGTTAGGACAGGTTTCCTTCTCCACCTTTCCTTCCTCCTGTGCACACCAGGAGAACCTGTGCTACAAATCAGGGTGACAATACCCACCCCATCCACGGCATCAAATGGAGTCTCCTGACGGGAATCCAGACCTGGCCACCAGCGTGGAAAGGAGGAGATGGGAATTTGGAAGCAGCAGGCTCAGAAGTGGGAAAAGTCACCTCTCTCCTGGTAACACCAAAGCACCTGTTTTCCTAGTGGAGCCATGAAACATCAGAAGGTTTTCCTGAAAATTTTTATTTTAGTTGGAGCAAGGCCTCCAACTTCTCAGACCACGCCAGCACAATCTCTGCACCAAGAAGGTGAGAGATTCCTGCAGCAGAACTTCCTCTTTGGCCCAGGGTTTATTGAATGCTCCCATGTCCAAGAAATAAATCCATATAAAAAAAGGTTTTAAAGGTCCTCCAGAGGACAGAATAAATGGATTGTCCCCATGGGGCTTCCTGCAGCATTTCATAATTTTTTATCTTATTTGTATATTTTTAAGGCATTTTGGGCCAAGGGGAGGACTGGTAAATGAAATCAAAGAGCAGGAGAATAAATAAATAAAGACATTTTATCCATTCAGGCTGATGCTCTGGATTAATTCTCTGCCTCTCTCTTCTTCATCAAGTGAAGAAAAAAAAAAACCCCGATTTTTATAACCTTTTTCTGGACCTCACTGGCCAAGAAACTGTGCTTGCAAGAAAATCCTCTCACCCCTCGCTGGCTTTTCCCCCCGGGCAGACTGCACATACCTGATCGAGACAAATACAGTACCTTGCATACCTGCGGGCCCAAAATCTTGCCTGGTGAGGAAGACGGCGTGGTCGTGGTGCTCGGCGTGCGCGGGGTCGGGGCGCTGCTGCGAGTGCGCCCAGCGGCACACCTGCTCCAGGCTGCGCGAGGGATTGCCCCGCTCGATCAGGCTCACCGACTGCAGGGACAACAGCGGGAAACCCACTGCTGGGCAGGGCAGGAACGGCTGCTGCCCTTCCCCTGCAAGCCAAGGAGGTGTCGTCCCAAGTGGGGTGGTTTGGGGAAGAAGACAGGAAACACAAGCATTTCCTTCCCTCTCCCAAATCTTCACGCGTTTCCCTTCATCCCAGCAGCTGTCAGGAGCACCGTGACAGGTCCAGATGAACTGCGCCTCAGATCTCCCCGATGTAACAGGCAGATCCTCAACTGGACTGGACCAAAGGACTTCATCTCTATGTTTGGTAGCTATATCCCCCTCTCTCCCTCTCTCTCTCTCTTTTTTTTCTCTCTCTTTCTCTAACTTTTTCTCTCCCTGAATCCCTCTATCTCATTTTGCTGTGGTCATTCAATAAAGGTGCATTTGTTTTGATTATTACTGCAATCCCCTGTGCTGTGTCAGTTTTTTGCACCCTGAGATCAAATCCACAAACCATCACAAAACCCGTTCGTTTCGGATCATGACATGCTCCAAACTGAGAGAGGGTAGGGGTATCTCCCTCTCCTTCTCCTTCTCTCTCCTTCTTTTCTCCCAAGTGGGAGATAAGAAGCTTGTCCTGGATCGCCAAGCTAATTGCATTCTCTTTGCCATCTGTATGGCAGTTGTCTTCTGTTCAGTGGGCAGCTTTCCTTATCTCTTTCACAACCACTCCTCCCTCCAGAGGGACATCTGCTGATAGCAGCTATTGAATGTCACTGCATGGCTGATAAGAGCTACAGCATCCCATTGGGAGATGCTCTGCTCAGAGGGAGCATTCCTACCCAGATATAATCTGGAGATTCTGGAACACCAGCACAGCTTCTCCATGGGATTCCCCAGAGGAACAGCTGCTCTCTTCCACTGCATCTTCAGAGGCAGAGACTGCACCTTTCTACAGGATCCCTGCTCCAGCAGAACCACCCCTGGCACTGCAGGAGGGCTGAGCCGCAATTCCAATGGTTCTGCTGCCAACACCCTGACCCACAGGGTGTCAGGCTGGGTTCTGACTCTGTCAGTGCTGTTTTGGTTTACTGCAGTGTTTATTTTATCCTTTTATTTTCTTCTCTATTAAAGAACTCTTATTCCTGCTCCCATATCTTTGCCTGAGAGCCCCTTAATTTCAAATTTATAGCAATTTGGAGGTGGGGGGGATTTACATTCTCCATTTCAGGGGAGGCTCCTGCCTTCTTTAGCAGACCTGTCTTTCCAAGCTAAGACAAAGCTGCAGGAGGGTTCACTAGGGAAGCATCAGACCCAAACAGTGAGCTGAGATCTCTCCTGGATTCAAACATCCATTCCTTATTTTCTACATCATCCCCTGAACCTGAGGAGTGACATAGCTGGACAAAGCAGCTGCCTCCAGAACAGGCTTTGGGGAGGATAAATCATCCCTAACAGAGCCTGGCAGTTCCTACCCCACTGTATCACCACAGGTCTAAATCCCTTCCTCTCCTCAGCTCAACCTCCAGCCCAGAGCACAAACGTCACTGGGACAAAGCCAAATGGATTGTTGGTTTTCTCAGCTAGAGATTATATTCCTGGTCCCATGGAAGCCTCCAAAAATGGGCCAGCCTCCATCCTTATCCCTGCTCCTCAGAACCATCCCTGGATCTCCAGGATGTATTTGGGTTTCTGCCAGCCAAGCATATTTCTACAATAAGGAAGTTTTTTCCAAGACCTAACCAGTCTTATTTGCAGATCACACACAGAGACATCACTGTGTTGAGTCATTAACACCCTTGCTAGAACATTTCCTGTAGGACAGGGGCTTGCCCCAGAAAAGTACAGAAAATCACATTGTTTTAAAGAAAAATCTGGCTGCTGTGCTCAAACAAGCCTTAAAAAATAAGTGCAGCCTGAGAAACCACACGAAAACTTCTCAGGAAACCTTCCCACGCTTCTCCTGGCCATGCCCAAACCACACGAGAGCTACAGGACAGCCAGGGAGATGAGTCAAGGAGATCCCAACCTCAGCTTCTCCTCACTAACGTCCAGCTCCTCTCAATATGGGAAGCCACCTCTACCCCATCACCTACAGAGCTCTGAGGAAGCCTCTGTGGTTTTCCCCACATGCCAGAGCAAGCAGGCACCAGCAGATCACAGCCACCCACCTCCCTGAGGGGGCTATCCAGGCCCTCAGCCCCCAAAATCCAGGCTAAGGAAGGTTCAAATTCACCCCTGCCCAGCACAGTTGTCACCTGGCCTCCGACAACTGCCACGTTTTCCCAAGGCTGGGCTTACCTAAGTGCTAAATAAACATCAGAGCACGTGCTGCTCTAATCCGCGCGCCGGATTTACCTGGCGATATCCCACCATGATCATCCTGACCAGCACAATGTTGATGTGCACGCCCAGCGACTCGTCGTGGTAAATCTCATCCACCTGAGGAAGGGAGTGTGAGAAATAGCTGCTCACTTTCCATAGTTTAGGAAGGTTTATTAAACCTTACCAAAAATACAGCAGAAGAGTGAATAAAGAAAAAAGGTTACGGTGCTGGGAGCAAAAGGTTTTCCCCGCCATGTGCTCAGCCCCCTCACAATGGAGGTTTTACCCTTTTTAACCCTTTAACCCCTCCCAAAGTTCTGTCCATCTTCACTGTCCAGTAGAGATCTCTTCCTCAAATCCTGACTGGAGGTCAGATGTTCCACAGTGGCAATCCAGCCCTCCCAGATGTCCCAACTCCTGTTGCCCCTTGATAACCACGCGAGGGGGTACAACATAACTATAAATCTATAAACTTTTCTTAACCTATATACATGATATTTGTCCATTAATTGTAAGAGTCAATCATGGCATTACTCATCTATCACAAGAGGGAAATCCAACAGGGAAGAAGTTAAGGCCATCCCAGCTCTCAAGCCGCTCCTGTCCTCCACGCTCCCACATTCCACACCCTTCCAGGCTTTCCAAGACCAGGTGCAAAGATGTCATCCCCATCCTCCCACCGTGGGGAGGGGTTTTTTTCCCATTTTCCCACGTGTAACAAGCACAAAGCCAAAAAGCCAAGCTGGAATAAGCCAAAGTTTCCCCAGGAATGGCTCAGATGGTCAATGACATCACCCATTTCCATCAAGGGCTATGTTTCCTCCACCACATTTCTCAATGAGCCTTTGGAATATGAATCCCTCAGAGGGATGGAAATGCTCCAGACTCCAGCACCCAAAGGAAAAATGGCGTTTTTATACAATCCTTTGCCTGTACCCAAAGCCAGGGCTTTCCTCAGTTGAGTCAAACCTGACCTATGGCTCCAGAAATCCCAGGAAAAGGCAAAACAATGGAGAGAACAGGGAGGGCTCATGACTCAATGAGATTTTTACCATCCTCAGCTATTAAAAATGACCTTGCAAAGGAAATAACCAGCTACAACCTCTTCCTTCTGCGTTTCCAGGATGAATAAACAAATTCTACTCCCAAATGCTACCAAGAGAGTAGGAGACACCCAGATGGGAAATGTCCCTGAGAGCTGAGCCCAGTGGCATGGAGAGAGGCACGGAGTGGGCAGCCACAGACCCATGTGAGACCCTGCACATCCTGCAAAGCACGTGGGAAAACACAGCCCAGGGAAGAAAAACACCCTGGTTTTTGAGAATGGGGCTTTCTTTTTCCCAAAAGGCCTCTCAAATGAACAGTTCCACAAATTGGGTTCCACTGCAGGAGTCGAGGAGACTGAATCAAGACAATTTTTAATATTGACTAGAATTCATGTTTTAATTAAAATATACTTTTTTGGCTTTGCCCAAGGGTGGACTAATTTGCCTCAGCTCTGTCATAGCCTTCCAGACTAGATGAAGGTTATAAAGTCAGATTTATGGATCTTTTCTATTTTTTCCTCCGTTCCCCCATTTCCATTTGGGGTTTTGCAATTTTACATCAAGGATTGGGTGACAACTACCCTTTTACTGCTGCTGAAATCCATGTCAGCCACTCCCCAGGGTTTTACAAGCCCCCCATTTTCCAGCCTGGGATTCCATTTGAAATACCCACTCAGGCCATTTTTAAACCCAAAAACCCAGTGTTAACCTTTTCCCCATGACAACCAATACTCCCATGGGGTGCCTCCGAGCCATGCAGAGAGGTAATCCAGATCCTGAGCCTTGAATGCAGCAAAATCGATTATAAAAAATTAAAATTAATCAATGAACTGCCAGTCCATGCCCATTAATGCATCCCTTTGGATGCAGAAGCTGCAAGAGCCGCGGGGTATTTTATCCATCAGTGTGGAAAGACAATGCTGGTCAATGACCCTCAGCTCATCCCTGCTTTCTGTGGGTGGAATGCTCCTTCACCCTCCCCCTTTTGTAAGAATAATGAGGATATGATGGATTTTTCCTGATGCCAACCCTATTTTTTGGGGATGTGCACGGAAGTGTTGCAGCTGCAAACATTGCTCAGGCCTGCAGACACACTGAGGTGTGAAGGATCCAGCCCAGCAAGGAGCTGCAGCTCCCCAGGGATGTCTGGCTGGGTTTTAGCATGTAGGAGGCTTTGGCATCCTGGAAAAATCCCACATCCTAAGTTTGATCCCTTACAAAAATATTGGGAATGTGGCAGGGTGGGAAAGCAGGGAGAGAGGGAGAAATTAAAGCCACGCTTGAAGAGATGCAGGGCTGGAGCTGGGGGTGGTGTGGGGAACAGGACAGGAAACACAACCATTTCCTTCACTCTCCCAAATCTTCACACACTCTCTTCACCCCCAGCAGCTGTCAGGAGCTGGAGCTCCAAACTGAGAGAGGGGAGGGTGGAGGGTTAGATGGGATATTGGGAAGGAACTGAGGGAAGTGAGGCCCTGGCACAGGCTGCCCAGAGAAGCTGTGGCTGCCCCTGGATCCCTGGAAGTGTTCCAGGTCAAGTTTGATTGGGCTTGGACCAGCCTGGGATGGTGAAAGGTGTCCCTGCTCATGGCAGGGGATAGGAATGGAATGAGCTTTCATCTCCCTTCCAAACTATTCCATGATTTAAGGATTCTATGGTTGTCCACCAGCACTCTGCTGCTTGCTGCCTGCTCCTGAGGACCCCTCAATCCATCAGGATGAGCCACATTCCTGCCTTAGGGACCTCTGTACCAGCCACAACCTGACCTTGCTGTGACTGGGAGCATCACGTGGAGCAGCACAGACCTCTCCCTTCCCAACTGCACAGGACATTTTGGCAGGATGCTCAGTAGATCCTGCTGTATTATTCCAAGATGGGATTTAATTCCACAAATCTTCCTTATAAAGCAGTGCTAAATCCCCCTCTCCTCCAGCTCACAGGGGCCTGGTTCTCCCTCAGTATGGTACTCCATTTCAGCCCCCCCTGGTGCTGCATTTCAGCCTCTGAAATGAAGAGTTAACCTAAAGCCCAGCCCCTGTTTAGTCCAGGGTTTAGGCAGGGATCTGCACCTAACAGATACCAGCTCAGCAGTGACCTTCAGGGTTAATTCAGAAAGCAGATGTGGAACCAGACTGCCCAAGGCTATACAGACTTCCCTTCACAGCCAGTTATAAATAATTGATTGAGGGGGGGAAAAGAATCATATCAAAAGGGCTTGGTGCTGGCCGCTGCCAGAGCTGTGACCCACAGGCCCCAAATTTTGGGGTTGGGGGGAGAAGGGGCCAGCTTCCCCCAAGTGCTCCATGGCCTGTGGAAGAAGTGGGGATGGAGCTGGAGGGGCCAAGAATCACCTTGGAAATGGGAATTCACCTGGAGAGCAGTTTGCAGGCTCAGCACAATTCCCCCTGCCCTCTGCAGATGCCATTAAGCAAGTCAGTGTCTTCAGAGAAACCCCTTCCCCCAAAAATAGCTGTTCAGCAAAGGGCTCCAGTAAAAAAATACCAATTTTTATAACCCACATCCCTGAAGCCATGGGATAAAGATCTTCTTACCCCTCTCATCCATGCTCAGCCTGTTTCACACCACCACCTGGCAAGAAATGCTCTCCTCTTTCAATTAAAATGGAATTTTCCCACCTATGAACAGCCCAGCCCTTAAGGCTTGCTGTGAGTTAAGGACAAACCAGCAGCAACAACCACCCCATAGGACTGCCCCCAAGCCCTGCACCACCAAGGAGGCAGTGGCACTGCCTTTACAGTGGCAGGAACACTCCAACCTGAGAGCAGGGCAGGCTGCCTCCCCAAATCCCTGCAAACCCTGGCCAGCCCCGAGCCTGCAGCCCCAGACGCGAGATCCCGACAGCAAAACCGCACTGGCAACGAGGTCTAGACCTCGCTGTTCTTCAGGGAAGGAAAACAAAGGGAGAGACACGAGAAGAATTTGCCAAACCAGCAGAACAGCTGACATTTCAAAACGCCGGGATCGCTTACTCGGAACAGCCAAGTCATCTTTAAACTCCTTTCTTTTATTCCCTCGCTTGGTTTTTATTCTGGTGGATTCACCCTGAGCCTCTCTGCTGGGGCTGGGGGGGTTAGGAAGGGAGGGGAAAGGCCCCCTTACCACATTTTTGGGCTTGCATAGTGCATGATGTCACCTCTGTGAGGGCTGACCCACATTATCTGTGGGGAGGAAGAGAGGAAGGGGAGAGTTGTTCTGCAAGGGCAAGAGTGGATTTGATCAGAGCTCTCTACAGAACAAGGCATTTGTCCCAAAAAAATAGCAACAACCATGTAAGCCTATACAGAGGGTATGGAAAAGTACGTGGACACGTGAGAGACATCAGAGGTATTTTTGTTATTATCAGTTACCAAGGAAGTGGCTCATAAAGAAAGAAAGAGAAAAAAACATACACAGGTTAAAATTAAAGCTGGATGTTTAATTTTTGTTCCCAAACCACCTCTTCTGTGGGGTCTCAGTAGCACTCTTTGTTGCTCTGCCCTTGGGAACAATAATTTCAGCTGGAGCCAGGCAAGTCCCAGCCTGGAGAGGGGCTCTGACTCATGGGGTTTCCCTAGTAACCCGAAACAATGGGAAAACACCAAGAACCTTTGCATCCTTAACCAAATCATGGGCAATATCAGACAAAAGCCCAGGAACCCAGTTGAGGCCAGGGCCAGGTTTAACATAGCCACAGCTTGGCTTCTCCCCTCCAAGTGGAGCCACCCCCAGACCTGAAAGGATCAGAGATGAGCAGTGGGAAGTCTGGAGGAGAAAACCAAGCCCAACTCCCTGAAGGCAAGAGACTGGAAAGCAGAGCTGAGCACTGAATATTTCCTCTCCTCTTCCTTTTCCAAGGTACAGGATCCCCTCCTGGTTCCCAGCCCTTGATCTCAGCAGCCACCCCGGCTGGGGGATCCCAATTTTCCTTCTGTAACATCACAACCCCTGCCACAGGCAGCAAGCAAGAGAGGGCAATGGCTTTCCAGAGGCACCACATCACCAAACATCATCCCAAGAGTCCAACTGACCAGGTTTGGTTAGGTGGACACAGAAAAGCCCAGCTCAGAGCAGAGATAAGCTCAGCAACTGATGGCAGAGGGGGAGCTGTGCCTTTCCCACTCACTCCAACCTGACCCCAAATTCCTGGGCAGCATCTGAGCCAAGAAGGGAAGGGCAGGCTGGGAATGCAGGCTGGGAGCTAGCAGGGAAGGCAGGCTGCCTGCAGGGAAGCTCTTAGGTGCACAAAAGGAGCAGTCATCCTCATGTCAGCCTCCCGGGATGGACACAGCACCCTTCACTGAAAAGCATCCACATTGCTGGCAATGAAATAAGGGCTGTGCGGTTTGTTTCTTTTCATAAAAAACCTCCTCCGTGACAAATCATTTATCACCAAGCTTCAGCCGACACAGAGCTCCCAATAAAGGGTTTTGTGTCTTGGGAAGAGCCCCGGGACCCTACCTACAGCAGCGCTGGGAAGGGATGCACATCCCACTGCTCCCTCAGCCCTCAGTGGAGACCTCAGGAAAAGCCAGCAGAGTTTATCATTACATCCAAACTTGTTGCCCCCTTTCTTTGGGCTATATCTTGATAGGAGAGCTCCTAGACAGGAAAACTTTCCCAGCTGGCTCCCTGACGTACTCCAGCCCAGCTCGTTAAGTCCTTTCCTCGTTAGAGGGCTGGCCAAGCCTCTCATCCCTCTTCCCTTTGCCTCCAACTAATGGGATTAATGTTCAGCTGTGTGGTCCCAGCAGGCTCCTCCTCTCTCCCTCCCTCTGCCACCCAGGCCAGAAAGCAGGACTCTCTTTTTTCTGCTGAATCGGGTGTTTTAAGGCAATCTGAGCCGGTAAGGAAACGAGGCGGCGCCAAGGGAAGAGGAGGCGGACGGAGGTCACGGCAAAGCTGGAAAGAAAACGCACTAAAAACCAGAAAGAAAGAAGGGGAAGGGGGTGGGGGGGAGAATATATAGAAGGAAATAATACTTGGGGGGAAGTATTTGTTGCCTGTATTATCCTGGGGCTTTCCCCCCCTCATTAAAGTCTCCAGCGCCGCCTTTAATTGAATAGGCAGCGGGTCCTCCCTTCTCCCAGCGCAGCATCCCGCGCATTCACTCCCTGAAAAGTCCTGCCCGCGGGGTAGGAACCATGAAATGCGCCTGAAAACCGACCTTTTGATTAGAGCTGACAACCCCCGGGCGCTCAAACTGGCCATCCCGACCCCCCTTCCCCCCCTGGGATCGGAAAGGAAAAATGACATAATCTCCGACCCCCGTAACGTGGGAAGAGCCGGAGGGCAGAGCAGGGAACCCGGTGGCTTCCCCCTCGCAGGAGGATTTAATGTTCAGAAAGTGAATTCAAGTGATGCTGAGAGCTTCGGGCAACTGGCATCGGGATAACGTGCCAGAGAATAAAACATTGTGATGAAGGTGTTTGCTTCTGCAACACTTTCCCTATTCAGGACCAGCCACTTCACTCATCCTTCATCTCATCACCCTCTAATCACACAAATCCTCCCCCCACCCATGTTGATAATTTCTCCCTTCATTGCCGGCCATGTGGCAGAAACAATGTCCAAAGCAACAACCAAGCACCCAAAAGCATCTTTGTAACTTGGCCATTCCAGAGCTGGTTGAGCCTTTTGAGTATTTTCCACCACTATGTCAAAGAACACTTAAAGAAAAGTAAATAAATAGAGGTGATAATAAAGCATGGAAAACAAAACAAAACTGGGAGAGAGAAAGAGATCCTTGAGAATAGACCTTATTTGCAGACATTCAGGTGCTGGAGGAGCAAACCTCCCTCAAGATGACTGGATGAATAAATATTGATCCTTCCACATCTCTCAGGACTTGGGGAATATGGAAGTTTTTGTCTTAGAAAGGAATGGAAAGGGGTGTAAGGAACCACCACAGGCTGCCCTGTGCCTCGGAGTGAGAAAGGGTGCAGGAACTGTAAAGCTGCTCTAAACTCCTTTTCAAACATATCCTGAATGGTTACCCAGGTGCATAGGTTTCCAAAAAGCTCCTGAAAACATATAACCAACTCCTCTACCAACAAATAGTATTCAGAACAAATCATGAACATCATCACTGCAAAACAAATTACAGATATGGTCATTTCTAACTAAGTAAGCCATGACTATTCTCTTTTCTAGTATTTCCTGAGACTTCAGTGACGAGGAGGAAACGTTCTCAGCCAGGATAAACTTTGGGACTTGGGTGACAGACAGTGACAGCACCAACACGCCAAACCCTGCCATTGGCAAGGGGAAGGTGATGGAGATGAACATCAAATGACTCTGCTTTCCATCCCTCCAATTCCCACAGCTATTAAACACCAGAGCCGGCGGTGTGAAGACACAGCCCTTCCTGCAGCACTGCTCCCCCTCCCAAACCCAATTCTTTTCCCAGGATAACAGATTCGCAGCACCAGAAGAGCACTAAAACCCAGGGAAGGGTGGGATCCACATCCCCCAGAGCCGAGCCTTACTATGTTCATGAGGGTGAGGACATAGTTCTGGACGTGCTCCTTGCCATGGAAGCGCACCACGGAGTCATCCACGGCCAGCAGCACCTCGATGTTGTAGTCGTCCTTCCTGGCGTGGCGCCGCTTGCGCTCCGCATCCCCCAGCCGCTCCGCCATCAGCTCCAGGGAATTCGGGAGCTCGCCCACCTGCACCCCGGGCCCTGGGCAGGAAAAGAGCGAGCATTTGAGGTGACCTGACACCATGGAGATGCTCCACAGAAGTAGGAATTCAGTAGGGAAAGCAGATAGGAGATTTAACTCTAACGGGATGTTGAGGTCCGGCTGGTTGCTGGTCCAGCTCGCCCAAGTGGCAGGCGAGCTCTGAATGGCTCTGAATTGTGAAGACCAGCACCAAAAGACATGTTAATGATTGGACTCGAGAACCTTAAAGGTTTTTTCCATACTAAATGATTCTATCATCTGTGAAAAAGTCAAATCGAGGCCACATTTTGTAGAATCATCACAGAATGGTTTGGGCTGGAAGGGACCTTAGAGCTCACCCAGTTCCACCCCCTGCCATGGGCAGGGACACCTTCCACTATCCCAGGCTGCTCCAAGCCCCATCCAGCCTGGCCTTGGACACTTCCAGGGATCCGGGGGCAACCACAGCTTCTCTGGACAACAACTTCCACTACCTCAATACTCTCACAACACAGGTGATCAAAGCAAGGCTGCAGCACCTCCAGCCCAGCATTCCCTTTCCTTCTTCCTGACTTTAGCAGTTAAACTGAGCCTAAAGCCACAGGGTGAGATATACAAGGGCTCGTGGAAGGAGAAATCCTCTCCCCAGGTGAAATATTTATTACCAATTGCTGGGATAGACTGGATCCCAGCAGCCCCTACCTTCGGGGTGGAGGTCGTGGGGTGGCTCAGCGCCGTCCTGCCGGATGGCCGAGCGCCGATAGACCACGTGGGCCCTGCCGTGCTCCTCTGTGTCCTGCTGGCCTCTCTCCAGGGGCTCGATGAAAAACTCGTTGCTGTCTGTCCGAATCAGGCCAGCCTGGACTCCACAAAGAAACAAGGAAAAGAGGGGAAAAACAGTGTGGGTTTATGTAAGTGATGGGGGACATACACACTCAGTATGCTCATTAAAGATTAATGCACAGCACACACAAAGGGGAAAGGCATCCCAAATAATCTTGTTTTGATCCTACTCCATGACACCAGGATGGTTCTAATACCATGTTCATCTATGACAACCCTTAATTTCTTCTGTAGATGGGGAAAAAAAAAAGTAAGGAAAAACCAAGCAACAAAAAAACCCCAACCTGGCTGCAATTCAATTTGTGTCCTTATATGGCTACAAAAGTCTGTTCTGCCTCATCTGTGAGTTGTGCTCGACCCTGAACTCAGGGATACAAGGCTGAAGGGGCTCCCAAAACACTCCTGAGCCTCCCTGAACCCTCCCCATTCCATTCTTGTGGTGCCTTTAGGATATCTGCCATTTCACTGACATGACGAGCTGCAACAAGAAGAAGGAAAGGGAAACCATTCTCTCTGCCCCACGAAGTACTTGGGAATTAACAGAGGGGAATCCCGTTGGGGCAGAAGCTGGAAAGCATTACAACTCCACCTCCCAAACACAGGGATGATGAATGACAGGGCAAACATCGCTGGTAATGTTGTCCTGGCTACTGACCTGCTCCTAATTAACACCAAGCTCCCATCAAATCCCCCTTACATCAGCCTGAGCGCTCACACCCCGCAGCGCCGGCCGGCTCAGACCTCGGGCAAGGAAAAGGATCACCAGGATTTGGCTTCTCTCCCACGGGCAGCCCCCCCAGCTCGGCATTTTTCCCAGCTCCCTCCATGGCGCGCGCGCACGTTCCTTCCTCCGGCGCTGCCCGCTGCTGAAGGGCTGCCTGGAAAGCACCAGCAGAACATTTGGATCTGTTCTTGGAGCAAAGCCTCCAGCAGCGTGGACCTACTGGAGTGAGTCCTCATAAGGATGTTGGGGTGTTGGAATGGTCCTCATCAAATCAAATAAAATAAAAGTAAAATAAATACAGAGATGTATTTTGGACAGAGGCTGGGGCTCTTCCAAACCCGCCTGGCTCTTTGGGTCCCCTTCATGTTCACATCCCATTGGATTCATCAGGCCATGGCCAACCTGGCTCTGTTGGATTCCACCAAATTTCCTGCTCCACTTGTGTTTCATTAACTCCTTAACTCCACTGCAAAGTGGGGTTTTGGCTGGTTTTGTTTTACCTCCTTCCTGAGGAATCCAAGCCCTTGCCTGACACATGTATCTCAGGGTCTTCCCACAAGAGACATCCAGGTCAAACCAGGGCAGCCAGGGATTGTGCCCCCCACCCTCAGCCAAGGAGATGAAGAACACAGCCAGGTTTAACCAGGGGCACCAGGCAGGGTGGTGGTGATGAGGCAGAGAACAAGGCAGGGAGTTAAACCACCAGTCAGGTTCAGTGACGGCTGGGCGAGGCCATGATGATGGGGCAGAGCACAGAAACATGGAATCCCTTAGGTTGGAAAAGCTCTCCAAGATTATCAAGTTCAACCATTGACCCAGCACTGCCAAGGCCACCACTAAACCACATCCCCAAGTGCCACATTTATACATCTTTTCAATCCCTCCAGGAATAGGGAACACAAGCCTGTGCCCAGGTCTCACAACCCCTTCCATGAAGAAATTCTCCTCATTTGCAGCTCCGAAACATTGCCCTTCATTATACAATAGGAGAGGAGCAGAAGCAGCCCCTGGCCCAGGAGGAGCTGTTCTGGGACACCACTACCCCCTCCCAGCCCTGCCACGGGGCGTTTCACTCGGGGCCAGGCACCCCAAAGCCGGTTTATGGGTTTAGGGCCAAAGCCGGGACTTGCTGAGTCAGGCAGCTGGAGGAAAGCTGTGCTGGATTAAAACCTGAAAGAGCCTGGTCCCAAGCCACAGCCCACTTGGGTTTGAGCTGCTCTACAGCTCGTGACTAATTATATCTGGCTCAAGGAATAAAGCAGCCCAGACTTTCTCCCATAGGTGGGATGCAGCGCGCCGCCGACTCTGGGGATGACCGAGGGTGAAGGGGATAATGCTGGGATTTTGTGTCCATCTGATCAGAGCAGCCCAAGAAATGAAACAGAAGCTGCAGTGCTCACCCTGACATTCACAAAAATAAATTAAAAAACCAAAACAAGCCAAAAAACACCATTGCAAGAGGCAAGCACCAACCTGCCTGCTCACAAAGAGGAGCAGCTCAGGTTGTATTTCAGCATTTTGGGAGAGTTGTAACAAAGGTCAGATGCCACCCAAAAAGTCCCACTCAGCTTCTCTTGGGCTTTTTCCAAGAGTTCAATCCCATCCTCAGTGATCAATTAGCCATATGCTTCCTACCCTTGATTTTAATTTGGTTTAATAATACCAAATCAAATTAAATCTACTGGTGGGATTATTACCACTGCTTTTCCTAACATGAGATGCTGTCTGAAGCTCTCAGTGAAGGTACTTCCCAACTAGAAAATGGCCCTTTAAAGACAATTCCACTGGAAAGAGGGAACACAATACAACAAACTCACTCCTGCCAGCTCACAGAGGGTGAAGTGTCCTCTCCAGCTCTCCTGTGCCTCCCCAGGCTATGGGAGAGATGAAGTCCTGCCTCACTAAGGGGGACCTCCCAGACCCTGAGTAAGAAACTCCTCCTCCACTGCTGGGTAAAAAGCTCCAACTCCCACAGGAATTCAGGAAATTCTGACACTTTACCCAGCTGAGATGTGGAAAAATTAATAAAGCTGCTGCACTCAACCAGGGGAGCAATCAGCAGGGGGAAATCCAGCTGCATGTACAGTATGTATTTTCCCTCTAAGATTCACACATAATTTGGACAAAAAGTCCTAGAAAACCAGGCAGTGTGAACACAGACACCACAGATAACAGCGCTCCCCTTCCATCCAGAGGGCATCAGGCATGGTCCAGAGGTGCTCCATCACTATTTTCATGCCTCTCTGCAGCACAGGCTTTGCAGCCCATCAAACACAACACTTTGCTTTCCTTGACTCCTTTTCCCTGCTCTTCGTGCTGAGGTGAGAGGTTTTTGGGGTGGCTACAGACCAGGCTTTGCCAGCTGACCTGAGCTCAAATGTAGCTCCTGGTGGAGTGAGAACATGAAGACACGCTGGGCACTAATTAATTAACTGGGTTTTCAGCCCAAACAGGGCCTGGTTTGCATCTCACTGCCAGAACCTGGGATTATCACCTGGGAGAAAAGCCCTCATATCCACATAACACCCACACCAGCTGAGGCCAGTGGGATCTATGTCACCAAAGGGACATCTCGCACCCTTTTCCTCCCCAAAGTTAACCCTACAGCTCAGGAACTGCAAGGAAAATCCTGGAAGACCAAGCCACCCTTTTTTCAGTGGGGCATCATTTTGAGGAGCTGTTTCTCCCTCTGTTCCCCATTAATTACTGGTCCTGAGGGCTTTTGTGTCCTGCTTATCTGCTGCCACCCATGTGAAGCAAGCCAGGGCCACGGGGATGGAAAACGCTGGCTCTACAGTTTGCAGCACTACGGCAAATCACCCCAGGGCAAAGCCAGGCACACAAATATGGTGTCTGTGGGTGATAATCCTTCACCCATCCCTGCAAACCAGCAAAGCAGGAAGGAAGCAGGGTCGACCACACGCTGCTGAAGCCGGCAGGGAATAATCTGGGATGCCTCCACTGCAGCGAGACGTGTCCGCCGGCGGAGATTCCTGCCTAACGCTACTTTACCAGTCAGGAATTTGGTGGCTTAGATCAGCTTTGAAATTACATTATGGGCCACAGCACCTTCCCACCCTGGTACGAGACACCCCTGCAGAATATGCAAGGCCAGCTTCTCACGCGTGGGTGCCTGCAGGGAACGACAGCCATGGAAAGGTGCCACGGCTTTGGCGTCTGGGAAAAGCATCGGCTCGCTTACATGGCTAAAGATGGATTTAGGAAAGACTTTGGGTGGACTCTCTTTGTCAAGAGTTGGGTTCAGGTTTTGGGGTTTTTTTCTTCCTCTCCTGCACTCCCCTCCCCTGTTATTTATAATCTCAGTCTCCGTTTACACACGGCCTAATCTCTCTGTGTACACAGCCCTCATCCGCAGCATCCCGGAGCGCTTCCTCTGCCCAGGAAGCGGCAGCCAAGCGCGGCCCCGCGCCTCCCACGCGCGCCATCCCGGGATGCAAAAGCCACAGCCCCCTTCCAAAGGTCATGGACAACTCCCAGCAAAAGTCCACAGCAATTCCAGGGTCCTTGCTCATGGAAGAGTTTCCTCCAGCTCATCAGCAACATTCCTGACCACGTGCATCCCTCCCAGGTGCTCTGCTGCTTCTCAGGTCATCAACATCATCCTCCCATCCCATCCACACCTAGAACCAGGATTCAGTTCCAGTTCTTGCTCTGTTTCCTAAATCAAGCTCTTTTCACTGCTTTTAGGGAATCCTCTTGATCTCCCCACTCCTCCAAAGCTGAGATCCTGAGCAGATTGAAGATGTCAGACTCACTTAAGACAGAGGGCCATACAGCCAGAAAACCCATGGAAAAGAGAAGCCAACTGTGATGTTGGATGTATCACAAGGGCAAGGGAGCTGAGCATCTGCTTGTCCCCTCAGCCTCGTGTCCTTCACCAGACCAGCTCTGGAAATTCCTGGTGGAAGCCAGGATATGGATTCATTGGCCACCCAGCAATAAATTTATTGTGGGAAATAGAAACAAAAAAATCCTTATCATGGGAGAAAAACCATTTCTTCCTTTATATGGGATTAAAAGGGTGGGCTTATCCATGGGTGACAGGATATGGCTGCATAAATCCACATGGAAAAGCATCCTGTGGTACAAGCTACACCCTAACCCAGCTGGAACAAGGGCAAAAAGAATGACAACCAACAAGGTGTGCAAGGGGCTGCGAGGGGAAAACGTGGGGGTAAAGCCTAGGAAAGCCTGGAAAAGTTAAATTAAAGCCTGCTTGGGATTGACACCAACAATAGAGCAGGCTCTGGGGAAGAAAACTCCCAGAGCTGTGCCACAGCAGGACACAGATCAGCTGCCAATGGCCTCCAGCATCCTTTGGCTCGTGATGCCAAAGGGAATGAGATCTGCCAGGGAACCTGCACGCTCCAAAGCCTGCTCTCTGCTCCAGACTCGGCACTGGCTCTGTAGGAAATGCCTTTAAAGCTGCCAAGCCTGCCCACACTGGCCAGCCCCAGCACGATCTGTGTCCCAGTAAAAATGTCTGCAAGTCCACAGCCTCAGCCCATTCCCAAAAGGACGCTTCAAAAGGTGTGGATTACGTGCTAAAAAAAATTTAATTCCTGTACGTAGGCGAAATACGTATTTCTAGCTGTGCTGCTCTATCATTTCCGCTTGTACAGTAGCATCAGGCACTGTATAAAAAGAAAGGAATGCCAAATTGTTTGTGCTGGTGGCCAAAATTGGCTTAAGGAGCTCTCAGAATAAAGCAACTAAAAAAGAAATATATAAAAAAAAGGGTTTTTTTTTAAAAAAAAAGGCACAAAATAAGGCATTTCTTCCAAACCCAGCAGTAAGTTTAAGTGGCACCAGGAGAAAACAGCAAACTCTGGCACCTAAAACAAGATTTAAATTGGCTCAAAGGAAATCTGAAGGGCAACGGGCCAAGGGTATTAAAAAATAAGCGCTTCCCCAAGCGTATCAAAGGTAGGGAACCCACAGGCAGAGCAGATGCTGGGGATAATGAGGTAACAGAGCCATTTAAAGGAATTAAAGCGCTGTGGCAGCAAGTTACTGATGCTGAACTGTGCTCAGAAAGCCAAGAGCCTCCGAGCCTCTGAGTGATTAGGGAGAAAAAAAAAGAAAAAGACATCCTCCTGCAAAGAGATGCTTGGTGGGAGCCAGACTGCAGCCAGCAGTGATTTCAGGAGGTGCTCCAGCTCACACAGCATCATTTAAGAGGCAGGAAACACAGAGGAAAAGTTCCCAGAGCAGTCCCAAGGTAAAACACGGGTGGGCAAGGATGGAACAGCATCACCATGAGTGTGGGTCCCTGTCCCAGAGGCTGGGCACAGCCCATGGAGGCAACAGCATCTGGGCAGGAGGCACTTGAGGCACAGGGCTGGCAAGTTTTCCAAGCCTTTTAAATAAATACTGGTGCACGGACCACCCTGATGGAGCAGGCAGGTAACACTCAGGGGAAAGGGAACCCGCTGCTGTCAAGGCCTAAGGGGCAACATATGGCACAGACACCTAAAGCATCACCAAAAAATCAGATTTCAGGACACCAGGATTCATCTCTTAAGAGGAAACGGCACCAAAACACAGGCAGCACACACAAAGCACCTGTGGTGGTTCTGCATGGGAGGCATTTAGGGAAGTGACAATTTTATGCTTTGTTTCTTTACATTGTCAGCGAGAAGAAAATGTTGTGAGAAGGAGTATTCTGAAGGTTTTGTTCTGATTTTTATTACTCTTTCTTTTAGTTCCTGTTAATAATTTCTTCTTTATACTCCAAAAAAGTTTCGAGCTTACTTTACCTTTCTCCTAATCCTACCTCACAGGCAAAAAGATAAGCACACCAGTGATTATCCAGCACTAAAACCCACCGCATCCATTAGCACACTAACCAGAAAATCTCGAAATTAACAAACCAAAACCACTACAGCACCCCACCAGCCCCCAGCTTACCAGCCCATCGCAGTTGCTGATGGCCACGGCAGCTCCGGGCATCCCGGAGATGTCACCGGTGAAAAGGCACCGCTGCTGGAGGGGTTCCCGGAAAAGCACCTCGAAATCCTCCTGCCACTCCGCCACGGCTCCCGGCGGCACCAGCCGGCGGTTGGGGCTCAGCCGGAGGTGCAGCTCCTTCCCAAAAACCGTGACGTTGAAATAGAGCAGGCGGCGCTGGGGGGGCTCCTCCGGGGGGCTGCGGGGGACGCGGCGGGCCCGGGCCCGGGCCGGGGCTGGCTCCGGGGCTGGCTCCGGGGCACAGGCGGGCTGGCCGAGCCCCGCCGCCGCCTCGCCGGACACCACGTGCGACAGGAAGCGGCCCCGGCAGTCGGTGCTGAAGGGGACGATCACTCCATACTCGCTGAGTTTGCCGGACAGCAGGAGCTCTGCGGGGACAGCAGCGAGGCAAAGGGGCCGTGGGCACGCTCGGAGCATCCCGCCGGGACCGCGGGGACCACCCGAGCCGGGGGAGCCTTTCGGAGCCCGACGAACCCCACAGCAGCTTTTCCGTCCCAAGCCAGCTCCGCTTTGTAGTTTTAAGCGGGTGCGTCCAGCGTAGCAGAAGGAACTCGGGCTGACGTCCCCTCGCACGCCAAGCACGCCAACTATTTCTCGCCCAGCCTCCATCTCCCCCAATTCCCATTGAAACCTCGCCCCCCAGCAGCGGGTTCCCGCTCCCTTCTCCCCATCCCGCAGCCACCTGTCAGCCCCCCAGCCCCCCGGGGCAGCGGCCGTACCTGGGGCGCTGCCGGCGGCCAGGCAGCCGTGCAGGGGGACGAGGCAGGAGAGCACCAGCCGCAGATAATCCATTTGGGGCCGGCGGCGGGATGCGGGGCCGGCGGGATGCGGGATGCGGGGCGGGCGGCGCCCGGCGACCGCCTCCCCCCGCCGCCGCCGCCGCCGCCGCCGGGGCCACCGGCGCTCCCGCCGCCGCCGCCGCCGCTTCTGCCGCCTCCCGGGCGGCGTGGGGCGGGCCGGGGGCCGGGTCTGCTGGGCCAGGGGGTGGGAGGTCGGGTTCGTTTTAATTTAATTTCTTTGAATTTTTAAAATTGTTTTTAAAACATAGTTTTCTTATTAAAGACGCGGAGCGGGGGGGTGTGTTGGGGGAGTGGGGTGGGGGGGGGAAAGTTCTCGCGTTGCCTGTGGATCGTTCTTTTCTTGGAGATTTAAAAAAAAAAAAAAAAAAAAAAAAGAAAAAAAGCCTTTTCGGGCAGCCCTCCCTCCTTTTCCTTTCCTCCCTCCCACCATCCCGCCTCCCCATCCCTCCCCGCCCCGCGGCCGCCCGGCTCCAGCGCTGCCCGAACAAAGGCGAGACGCGCCGGGAGCCGGGGAGCGCCCCCGGCTCTGCCCCTGTCCCCCGGTCCCACCCCCGGCCCCTCGCTGCAGCGGGACCGCGCACGGAGGGAGATGCTCCACAGGGAGAGCCAAATCGTCCCCCAGCTCAGGGCGCTGCCGCCGCGTGAGCTGGAGGTAAACATCCCGTTTGGAAACAGCTGGGATGTCTTCCAGATGTGGAAACATCCCTGACAGAGAAACTGAAGATGCCCCATCCCTGGAAGTGTCCAAGGCCAGGCTGGATGGGGCTTGGAGCAACCTGGGGTAGTGGAAGGTGTCCCTGGCCATGGCAGGGGGTTGAAAAGCAATGAGTTTTAAGGTTCTTTCCAACCCAAACCATTCCATGATCCCAATTAATTTTTCTTTCTTCCCTGTCCTCCTGTTTTTGGGGGGAAACAGTCAGAAGGAGATGCTGGCCTTGCTCCTGGATGCCCTCTTGCTGGCTCTCCAAGGAAAACCCACACTCCTTGGGTTTTCCAAAGAGCATCACCACAGCTCCAGAGTTGGAACCCCTCAGTTCACTATGTGCTGTGGTTCCTCAGGCTACTCCTCCCCACCACCCTGACAAGGGGCAAATAAACCCACTACTCCCCTAAAAAAACCTCAGCAGAACTCAACAAACCCAGCACCGTGCTAAAAGGGCTTCCCACATCATGGAACCATGGAATGGTTTGGGTTGGAAGATCATCTTGCTCCACCCCTTTGCCACGGCAGGGGCACCTTCCACTATCCCACGTTGCTCCAAGCCCTGTCCAGCCTGGCCCTGGACACTTCCAGGGATCCAGGGGCATCCATCAGCACAGAGTAACAAACCTCCTGGCACTGTTTCCATTTGCTGTGTCCTGCTAATTTTTTCTTCTGGACAGGGCTCCAGAAGGGAGGGGGCTGTGCTGAACACCAGTAACACCATTCATGCTGCTTGTGCTGGGATGTTACTGCCATGGGGGCCAGTGGCTCTTGGGGTTTCACTGAGCAACCCAAAACCTTTCCCAAGAGGTGATTCCTGCCTTGAGGAACTTGCCATCCAAGCTGCCACACAGGCCAGAGCACGAGGGAAAAGGCAAGCAGGGAAAACAACGTGCCAGCCTGCAAGCTTCCCGTCAGGAATTGGGATTCTGGGTTTGGATTTCCTTGGTAGGACCCCAGCTGGAGCTTTGCTCCCAACCCATCAGCACAGCAATGCCCAGAATGGTAGGAAAGGATCAGTATTTGGGAAAATGCCCTGCTTTACCTCCCCTGCAGGTGTGGGTGGATGGTGGGGCTGCTGGGTGCCAGGAGGAGGATCCAGAGGTGGAGATGGGGAACCCCTTGGAGATGCTCCTGCTGCAGCCATTTCTGGTGAGGCATCACTCTCCTGTGTTCTGCTGCCAGAGCATCCCTCCAGAGGAGGGGGGAGAGCCTTGCCTTCCAGCTGGGTAACTGGGTTGGGGTTTGGGGCAAAGAGGAGAAGCTGAGGCTGCAGTGATCAAAATCCAATCCAAAATTCCCTGTAGCTAAAGCCACGGGATTCCCCCAAAGGGAGAGAGGAATACACTTACTTCAAGTAGAGAATTTCAAGCTGGAAGAAAACCAGATTTTAATTCCCACTCTAAGTCTTTTCATGCTTCTGTTGCTTTGTGCAATCTATAATTAAAGAGGAGAAATGATCTGCAAGAGATTCTTTGCAGAAGAGATAGAAAAAGAATTTGTGCTCCAAGCATTTCGGATGATTTTGGAAGATATGCACCCGCTGGAGCATCAAAGCTGGAATGAGCCCTTAGTTTGGCTGAATAGATTTATGAGGAAACATGCAATAAAGGGCATGCTTTACTTGTGAAGAACAGCTCTGGAAAGCATCATTTAATTACTGTTTTTCAGAGGCAAAAAACTATTTCTTTATCCACAAGGTCTGTGAATTCATCCAGTCCCTCCAGACCTTTATGCTTGCCCTGATGTTACCAAATCTCTGGCTTTGGCAGCAAAAGCTTGGCTGAATGACAATGGCAAGGACTTGACACACAGCTTGCCTCATTTATTACCTTCTAAAGGTAATAATTAAACATGCTTGGGTACCTGTGACATGCTGACCTGGTGAAAAGACAATTTCCAAGGGGATCTCGTGGGCTCCCAGATGACAAGATGTTCATCTGTCACCCACACAGTAACACTAAGTGGTGGCCTTATCTGCCTGAAATATTCATATAATAATATTAGTGTGGATTTTGGTGTTATCTGTATCAATACACCATCATTTAAGTCAGAAAAATTCGTTTATTCCAGCCTTTTTCGTCCCAGTTCCTGTCATAGAGGATGAAAAGAGAAGCAGCAAGGCAACTTCCCCTTGTCCTTTCCTTCTGCTTTGGCCCCTCCATTCTCCTCTTTGTCTCCTGGCTTTGCCTTTCCCAGCCTTTAACTCTGTCCCACCCTTCTCCTTGACTTTAAGCTTAACCTTTTCCTTTCCATTTTGGAGTCCAAATGGCTCCTTTTCCTGTTTTTCCCCTCCTTGGGTGCTATTTTGTCTCGTGCCCCCATTTCCTCCATGGATAATGCACTCTGGAATCCTTTATGACTCAAGGCTTCCCTCTGCAGCCTGGAGATTTACCAGTGACATGGGTTTGGGGACTTTCCCATTATTTAGGTGACCTCTAGGCCTGGGGAGGAGCAGGTTTTCCTTCCAGCTTCCAGAGAAGAAAGCTGACAACAGCTGCTGTTTCCAAAACCCCAAATCAGGCTCCTTTTCCTGCAGGAAGCTCCAGCCAGTATTCCCAAAGCCTGATTTTCATCTGGCAGTGCCATTTTCTGGCCATCCTGGAGTGCTGCAGTGTCCAAGCCCTGCATGTCCCACCAGGTACCACTCAGAGACAGTGCCCAGGTGAAATTTCCCAAATCCCCTCCACCAGCAGTAGATGCAGCTATTGGCCCCCAAATACAATTAATCTTGATTTTGAGGGCTGGAAAAACCTTCACAAAAGGCTGGAAGGATTTCTTACAAGGAAAAAAAAAATCAAACAAACCAAAAACCAAAAAAAAAAAAAAAAAAAAAAACCCCCAAAAAAACAAAACCAAAAACAAAAAAACAAAACCAACCAAAAAAGGGTCTATTTTTGTGCCTTTATGAGCACTGGTTGCTTTGCTCAGTCGTGCAAACCTCCTGGAGGGAAGGGAATTAGGGCTAATAAAATCATATCACTCCCCATCAATTACCTAAACTGGCTTTTCTGCCCATAATATCGTGAGTTTGGGAGCCAGGAGCTGGGGGTGTACCAGAGTGAGAAGACAGGGCTGTATTTCCAGCTCTAGCTCACCACATGTCTTCTTCCCAGAGATTTCAACCTTCTGTTTGTTAATCCAAAAGGCTCTGAAACAGCTGCCCCTGCGCTCAGGTTGCGCAACCACCTCCTCGCCACGGGCTGATTTCTGGCAAAAAGTGGTCAAATCACCAAAAAAAAAAAAAATTAAAGCAGAAGAAGGGGGAAAGAGTGTTTTGCAGCTGTTTGGGTTAGTCTGAGGTTTTAAAAGCAGCTGGAAGAAGGAAGAAGCACTGGGAGGGATGGCTCAGCATCCTTGGCACAGGTAAGATGGGCAGGGGGCACAGCCAGGGATTTTACCTGATGCTAAAATCCCCACCCAGGTGCAACACATCGATCATTGTCACTGCTAGAGATGAAGGGATGGGACTATTTTCAGGCTCAGAAGGATTTATTGCTCAGATAAACATCAGTCTCAGAGGCAGTGAGGTTTTAGAAGAGCAAGCACTCAGCCATAGCTCAAAGTAGTCACAAGTTCTTTGTTACAAGGCAATATAGAACTTTCTAAACCAATGGATAGGTGCCACAAGGTTCATTTTGCTTTTCCAACCTATCACTTTTACTAACTTCTACTGCACTGGGGATATTTTTATCTAATGGGCTTCTAACTCACGTGCACACTCATGCTTCCATTATAACTTCTAAACTCTCAGTTTATTCCATGCAACCACAGCCCTACGTTATAAACCCTTCACCATCTTATCAATGCAGTTTTCTACATTATAAACCCTTCACCATCTTAACAATACAGTTTTCTACATTATAAACCCTTCACCATTTTATCAGTGCAGTTTCTCACTTAAGGCATATTCTTACTTACAACTACAGAAACGTAAGTTTATGGTTTTTCTGCTTAATATCTGTGTATTGTATTTTTACATCAATCCAAGCTTCTCCCAAGGCTGCAGATCAAACCCTCCAGTGTCTGTGGAAGTTTCTGTTTCCCCGATTCCCACTCGCATCCCCGCTCAGAGCAAGGCATTGTTTGCTGGGGGAAGCATCCCAAAGGCACCGTGCGGGGACCGGGAGCCCCAGCAGGCTCCAATCGCACCCTGCCCTGCGGAGGGAGGGAGGGAGGGAGGGATGGAAGCCGGAGCACGGCGGGCTGCGGGTGAGCGAGCATGACCTCATCCCTCAGCCACGCCGAGCTGCCCCGGGATTAGAGCAGGGAGCAGCCGCTGCTGCAGC